TTATTTCCCTTAGCATAATGCTCTTGAGGTCCATCCATGTTGTTGCAAACAGCAGGATTTCCTTTCTTATGGCTGGGTAACATTCCTGGACGTGTGTGTACTACAATTTCTTCATCCGTTCCTCTGTCCATGGACTCTTAGGTTGTTTCCATATCTTGGGCTATTGTAAATAATACTGCATTAACATGAGGGTGTAGGTATTTCTTCATATTAGCTTTTTCATTTTGTTCAGATAAATACACTGAAGTGAAATTGCTGAATCATATGGTGATTCTATTTTTAATTTTTTTAGAAACCTCCATTCTGTTAGTGGCCGCACCAGCCTGCATTCCTACCATCCCTACAGTGCACAGGGGCTCCCTCCTCCAGAATAGCCATTCTAATAACAGGTAAGATGTCCTAGCTCATTGTCATTTTGATTTGCATTTCCCCAAAGATTAATGACATAGAGCATCTCTCCATGTGTCTGTTGGCCATCTGTATGTCTTCTTTGGAAAAATGTCTATTCAGATCTTCTGCCCATTTTTTAATCAGTTTTTTTTTTTTTTTTGCTCTTGAGTTATAGGAGTTTTTTTATATGTTTTGGATATTAGCCCTTTATCAATGTGATTTGTGATTATCTTCTCACATTCAGTGGTCTGCCTTTTCATTTTGTTCATGGTTTCCTTTGCTGTGCAGAAGCATTTTAGTATGATGTAGTCCCAACTGTTTATTCTTGGTTTTGTTGCTTTTGTTTTTGGCAAGAGATAAAAAACCATAGCCAGGACCTATGCCAATGAGCCTGTGTTTATTTGTATGGGTTTTAAGGTTTCAGGTCATACATTCAAGTCCTGAATCCATTTTGAGTTAATTCTGTGTATGGTGTAAGATATCAGTCCAGTTTCATTCTTTTGTATAAATTTTCCAAACACCATTTATTGAAGAGACTGTTCTTTCCTCATTGTATATTCTTGGCTCCTTTGTTGTAAATTATTTGACCATATATGTGTGGGGTTATTTCTGGGCTCTCTATTCTATTTCATTGGTCTATGTGTCTGATTTTATGCCAATACCATACTGTTTTAATTACTATAGCTTTTGTAATACAGTTTGAAATCGAGGCTCATGATGCCCCCAGCTTTATTCTTCTTTCTCATGATGGCATTCTCTATTTGGGGTCTTTTGTGCTTCCGTACATATTTTAGAATTCTTTGTTCAATTTCTCTGAAAAACACCGTTAGAATTTTGATAGGGATTGCAGTGAATCTGTAGATTGCTCTGGATAGTATGATCATTTTAGCAATATTAATTCTTCCAATCTATGAACACCAAATATCTTTCCATTTATTTGTATCTTCTTTAACTTCTTTCATTAATGTTTTACAGTTCTCGATATACAGGTCTTTGACCTCGTTAAATTTATTCCTAAGTATTTTATTCTTTTTGTTGCAATTGTAAATAGGCCTTTTAACTTCTCTTTCTGATGGTTACCAGTGTAAAGAAACAACAGATTTTTGTGCACTGATTTTGTATCCTCCAACTTTACTAAACTCATTTATTAATTCTAAGAGGTTTTTTGATGGAGCCCGGGATTTTCTATACATAATATCATCTTATCTGCAAATAGTGACAATTTTTCTTCTTCTCCAATGTGGATGTCCTTTCTTTTTCTTGCCTAATTACTCTGGCTAGGATTTTCAATACTATGTTGGAAAAAAAGTGGTGAGAGTAGACATCCTTGTCTTGTTCCCGATCTTAAAGGAAAAGCTTTCAGCTTTTCACAGTTGAGTATAATGTTAGCTGTGGGCTTATCACAGATGGCCTTTATTGTGCTGAGGTATGTTCCTTCTATGCCTATATTCCATTAAAAGTTTTTATCATAAATGGATGTTGAATTTTATCAAAATGCTTTTTCTACATCGACTGAGATGATCCTATAATTTTTATCCCTCATTTTGTTAATGTGGTAGACCACACTGATTGCTGTCATATTTGCAAACCATATCTGCACCCCTGGAACAAACCCAACGTGGTCATAGTGTGTGATCTTTTTAATATATTGTTGAATTCAATTTGCTAGAATTTCGTTCAGGATTTCTGCACCAATGTTCATCAAGGATACGGGTCTGTAATTTTTTTGTGTGGCATCCTTGTCTGGTTTGAGTATCACAGTAATGCTGGCCTCACATAATGTGTTCAGAAGAGTCCCTCCATCTTCTATTTTTTTGGAAAGGTTTGAGAAGGATTGGTATTAATCCTTCCTTGAATGTTTGGTAGAACTCACCAGTGAGGCTGCCTGGTCCTAGACGTTTGTTTGTTGGGAGACTTTCAATTACTGATTCGGTCTCCCTGCTAGAAATGGGTCTGATGTTCAGATTTTTCTAATTCATCATGATTCAGTCTTGGCTGGTGGGTAATCAAAATTTATCCATTTCTTCCAGGTTGTCTGATTTGTTGGCACATTATTGTTCATAGTCGTCTTTGATGATTCTCTGTATTCCCTGGTATCAGCTGTACATCTCCTTTTTCATTTCTAATCTTATTTGAGTCTTCCTCTTTTCTGGTGAGTCTCACAAAAGGTTTGTCAACTTTGTTTACTTCTCAAAGAACCAGCTCTTCGTTCCATTGATCTTTTCTAATATCTGCCTATGCCATTTATTTCTGCTCTAATCTGTTACCTTCCTCCTTCTACTAGCTTTGGGCTTCATTCATTTTTTTCTAGTTCCTTGAGATGTAAAGTTAGGTTGTTTATTTAAGACTTTTCTCGTTTCTTGAGGTAGGCATTTATTGTACGAACTTCCCTCTTAGAACTACTTTTGCTGCACCCACTAAATTTTGGTATGTCACTTTTCCATTTTCATTTGCCTCAAGGTATTTTTTGATATCTCTTTTGATTTCTTCTTTGACCGGTTGTTCAGCAGCATGTTGTCTAATCTCCCCATATCTGTGAATTTTCCAGTTTAATTCATGTAATTAACTTCACCTTTCTTAATCAACAAGCCCACGAAGGTGTGTTCCTTCACCAAAATGCCAAAAAGCTCTAAAATAAATGCTGTCCTTCCCCTAAAATGCAGAAAGGAGGCAGTGGGTTTTGGTTTTTTTTTTAAGCAATTTTCCTTCCTAGCATATCCTGCCCTTAATAAAATCTTTATAGTCCCTGCAAAAGATTCTGGTCCACGATTTCTCTAACAGGTGAGTGATGAAATGAGGGGAGGGTGGACTTCACATGGGGGAGGCCTGCAGGGGCCTCTCCTGAGGGGCTAACAGGGGGCCCCGGTGCCCACCAGCCAGAGAGCCCAAACCCCATCCACTGTGTGTACTTCCTGCTTGGAAAGCCTGGTATGTATGTTTCACTAGAAAAACAGCTACAAACTGGCTACAGTGTTCACATATTTTACATACATATTACATAAAAGAAGCTTCTCTGTTGTGAAGAACGGATCCTTTAAGCCAAGAACTGCAGGCCGGAAGTACCCGCCTCAGAAATTGCACTGAAAAATGTGATTCACAAAAAAGTACATTAGAGCTGGGATTCCTTTGGTCGTTGTTGCTGCTCTTTTAAACCATCATCCAGCAAAGCTGCAATGTGCTTCTTTCTAAACCACAGAACCAGAGAAAATCAATTCAAGTATTTCCCCAAACTACAGCACTGGTACAAACGAGCACTAACCTCTACTTCCTAAACTCCAAGAAAACAGAAAACATGCCTTCTAAGGGACACAAAGGGAAGCGAAGAAGTCAGGAAGTGAAATTCACATCTACTGCAAATCATATTTCAAAGAACTAACTGAGACTGGGGCCAGTTGTGAACCTGCTAGTGGGGAAAACCCAGCCATGTCCCAGAGATCTCACTGTGAAGTTAAGAATAAACGCAGTTACACAAGCAGGAAACCGTATTTTGAGTAGACAGGTTGGAAAGCAGCTAAATAAACTGAATCAAATCAAGTATTATTGGAAGAACCGTGAAAAACTTCACCGTATGGAAATGAGGTAATAACCATTAGATACATAGCCGAAAATCAGATTCAATCAAGGAACAAAACGGAGTTTATAATTTGTATGACTCCATTTTATAATGTCTTTCGACAGTTCCCCAAACCAAGTGTCTTTCTGGGGAGATTATGACCGTTACAGTTTGCTGCCGCTAACAGTACGGCAAGGGGGGAAGCAATGCACAGGGACGCGGAAGCAGTGCTGGAATGCACACCCCTGCGTCTACATTTGAAGCAAAGTACAATTTCTCTGTACATTCAGCAAAATCACCTGCAGAGCTCACATGAGGCTCTTTATGAAAGAGCCTTTCTCTTTGTACCTCATCACTGACCGGCTGGCGCCACAAATCTACACCTGGTTCTGCTTGGTATCACTTTGTTAATGCTCTGTTCATTAATGTAACAAACTATCAGGAGAATATGCTTGGAATGGGCAGGCATTATCTCCCAACTTTCATTTAATTAAACTCTGCTATTGCAATATGACAGTCAGCACATCATAGGGGAAATTATTTTAAGAATGAAGGTAAAAAGTATTTCAAAGCCTCCACTTAAATATAAAAGCATAATCTAAAATGGCCGAGCACACACTATAATTTTTCTATAATATTAAAGATGTTATTTCCAGACTTGGTAATTAACTGGATTCCATGGAGAAATTACGCCAGCATCCTTGATAGCAAAATGATGCACAAAGGCAGGGAACAGAGTGCCAAAGGACAGCCATAAACAACCATGCTGTCGCCCAGATTATGACAATCATCGGGCTTAATAAGGAGTGAGAGCTGCCTGCTTCTGTGCACACTCATTCCTCCCTGCAAAGTGCCTGCGCTGAATTCTGATTATGTTGCCTTAATAAAAACGAAGGGGAGAGGCTCCTGCCCCAGAAGAATGCCCAGCCCTGCCCCGTGGAGCCAAGGGCCCCAGGCTCAGTGAGGACAGCACCTTGCAGGGTGAGGGCCAGTCCCAAGCCTCCCACCGCCTCCTCCCGGGCCCTCAGGGAGATAGGTGCTCAGGAAGCAGGCTTACCGTCAATCCGGCTCACGAGCTCTTCCAACATCTTCACCTTCATTTGAATCCCAGGCTGGGCAAAGGTATAGTTGTCCTAAGGGAAAAATAATAACAAATATCATATGCACAGAAAATAAAACACACCTTCCAAAGGGGAAAAAGAAAGTCGGAACAAAGGTAAACAGTTTCACAGCGGAACAAAGTCACCACCTGATCCATGCGCGCGGCGTCAGGCCCCGTCACAACGGCCGACCCGCAGCAGGATCCCACCTGGGGTCAGGTCTGGCCCTTCCCAACGTCAGAGGGCGAGCACACCCGCCTCGGGGAGCATCTACCGGAGCATCTCTTTATGTAAATGCAGATATTTACATTTACATGAAACAAACGGGCATGGGCACGGACAGCTCCTTGAGAAGTGTGTGCCGGAAGCAGCTGCCTGGCCGCCACCCGGGTAGGGGTAGCGGGCACTCTCCGGTGCCAGGCTCGTCAGTGCCAGAGGAGTGGCGGCGGAACGGCGCCGGGGCCGGTGCTCTCGGCGCCCGCGTCCCGCCCGCAATCCACTGACGCGGCCGCTGCACAAGGAAAGTGAGCGTGTGACCACTCTCGGTGAACCCAGGTGAAGGAGTCGATAAACTGAGACAGGAAACCCAGCGTGGGCATCGAGCGGGATGAGTCCTCGGTCAAACAGACCTGGAGAAGGAGCCCTGCTCTCTACTCGGGAGCTGCGCAGCCTCGGTAAGCAACATCACCTCTCGGCTCCCGTTGGTCGTCTACACCGTGACAATCATGCTGCCTTCTCGGTCGGCTCCGAGGTGTACAGGAGCGCAGGTCAGGGGACCGTGCTGGAGGGCCCAAGACTTCCAGAGGT